GGCAAGATGGCCTTTTCTTCTTGTTGTAAAAGTCTGGCCAGTTCTTCCGGTACTTCACAACCTTCACCATCTTCATACTCAGCTTGATTGACCAGATCTTCAGAGTTATTGAAGGACATAGCAGAATAGTTACCCATAGAATCCAGAGTGGAGGGGTACCTGCATTTGTGAGTGTGTGTGTGTGTAAGGGATAACCATCCTTAAACAAACAAAATGCAAAAAGGAAAGAAAATGAACACAACAGTTTATCAATGAAAAATGTCCAATGAATCATTAAACATGGCATATGGATATGAAAATAATCAAAACCCTTACAAATGGACCTACATGCTCCGGGTAAGACATGAGGTGAAAAAGTAGTGTACGGATTGTTCAAGAGTAAATATTACAAACCAACAGGAAATGTTTGACAGATAATTACTGATTAATAAAAGTAATGGGGACAAAATCCTTTGCCTCCCAGTTGCGTAATCCTCCTTTGATGGTTGGGTAGATCCAATCTTCAATGTCGGCCTCTTCGTCTTCACCCTCCAGAGCGTTGATTCCAAAAGGGGAAATCTTGACAGGCGTTCTTTCAATCTTTGAGCGGCGCATAGCTTTCTGCCCCGCAGCCGTGAATCCTAAACCAAACTTGTCTATTTTGTGGGGAATATCGGGCAACTGACCCCATGTTGAGCTCTTCCCTTCCTTCAATGCAGCCTTCGCGTCTTTCAGAGATGCCATCCTGGCCACCTGCTTCGGTACCTCGGCCACCACTCTTGCTACTGCCCCTTCAGGAGAGACTTCCTCGAAGTGCTGGAATGGTGTTTCAATGAATTCCCCTTCCACCTCTACATACCGAAAAGAGCTCAAGTGGCTGATCATGTACTCCTCTTCACCATGTACGATGATGATTTTTCCTTTGACAGGGTACTTCAACATCTGATGCAAGGAAGAGGTGACAACCCCCTCATGATGGATCCAAGGCCTACCTAGCAAGCAAGAGTATGAGGGACGGATGTCCATCACATAGAAAGTAGATTTAAACACCTCAGTGCCCACCTTGATGGGAATATCAACTTCCCCATGGACCATTCTCTTCGAACCATCAAAAGCTCTGACAATAATATCACTCGGCTTCAACTCCAAACCTTCACAATCCAGCCGGTCCAAGGCTTTCTTAGGCAGTACATTTAGCGAAGAACCAGTGTCGACCAAGACATGTGCGAGAGTGGTTCCTCGGCACTCGACTGAAATGTGCAAAGCATCATTGTGGTTTCTACCTTTAGGAGTTAGATCGGCATCAGAGAAACCTAATCCATTGTCTGCAGTAAGGCTGGCCACGCAATTTTGGAATTGGTCTGCAGAGGTCTCCTGGGGCACATGGGCTTCCTTTAGGAATTTTATCAATGCTTTAGCGTGTGCCTCAGAGCAAAGTAGTAATGCCAACATGGAGATCTTCGAGGGGGTTTGCCCCAGTTGCTCTACCACGTCATAATCACTCTTTTTAATTATCTTCAGGATCTCCTCCATCTCTTTCTTAGAGGTCTCCGGGATGACCAAAGGTTGAGCCCTCGTCCTGACGAGCTCATCTTGGATCCCTTTTCCTTTATCAGCTGGAGAAGGAGGGACAACGACAGGAATAACAGTTTCTTCAATCAACGGGGTTTCGGCGGAAAGTTTTATTGGCGCAGGACTATCTCTGGCAGCAGCTGAGGGTCCAAAGATTGCCTTTGGGGGGCAATCTCTGGAGAAAATATTCTCCCGCTTCGGATGATCTTGCTTGTACCAGCAACGTTTCCAATGCTGGCATCATCTTCATCAGAGCTTTCTTCAGTAACTTCAACTTGTTTAACACCATGGTAATAGATGTCTCCACCGTAATTCCATGGTATTGACTTGTCAGAACTGTAGGGGACAGGCCCAGGCATAGTTATTTTTAAGGGAACAATTTTTGTAGCAGATGTAATCTTAACAGGCTTTCTGACTGCCTTGGAAAGATTGGCGTGAATGATAATAATTGAGACATCTTCAGTAAGGATTGGAATAGCAGGAATCTTCTCAAACAGAATTTGTCGACTGTCCATCAGGCTTTGGATGCCTTTCTTCAGTGATGGGCAGTCAAATGGCAGAGAGTAACAACAGTAGCAGTCTTCTTTGCAACCTGGGAAAATCCCGACTCTTAGCAGGTTTAACTTGATTGTTAACAGCGGAGTCATCAGGTCATTGACATCAGAAACATACAAATCTTCCTCAATAGCATTGACATTTCGACCATGTTTCGGCATTGGAGCAGATATCACGTTCGGCTTCTCCGGAGCATCGAACTCCACCTCTTTCGCATCTATCAAGTCTTGGATTTTATTTTTGAGCGTCCAACAATCATTTGTGTCATGTCCGACGCTATCGGAATGGTAGGCGCACTTAGCATGGGGATGATAGTGCGGTGAAGCAGTATTCACAACTTTTGGTGCTTCATGTTATTTTGTTATGTTCATGTTTATTTGAGAGATGTTTATGATACTCTCTTTTATTTATGATGTATGGAGATTATATGATGAGTGGCCTTTAGTGCCTAATATTTTATGATATGATTGTCAGTATGAGATTTCAATCATTATTTTCGTTATGAAAAAGAATCATTCCGCTGTGAGATGCATATGTGTTGGTATATGAAACATGATTTTAAATGCGTGTTATGAGAATGACGTGTGTGTTGTGTTTCATTATGAAATAAATGCGACGCCCTCTTAAGATATGCATGATATTTACTCTGATAATGTCATTTGTTTTATGCAGGGTTTAGGGGGGTGTTACAGTATGCGCTAGAGCATGATACTCTACTTATGTGCTAGACCGTGCAACTAATGACTGCTTCTTTGAGCTCCATGACACTAAATTTATACCAATGAAAATGAAGGAGCCAGAGATAGAGCCCTTGTCGTCTAGATCGCTTACCCAATCTGAGTCACTGTAGGCTCTAAGAGAAAATCTGGAAGCTGAAACAAAAGGAGACATTTGGAGACCATAAGTGACTGTGCCACTCAAATACCTTAGTGTTCTTCTGACTGCAACCCAATGAGAATTTAGAGGATAAGCCATGAATTGGCAAGATTTATTCACATAAAAGGCAATATTAGGACGAGTTAAAGTTACATATTGAAGAGCACCTACAATGGACGTGTGCAGTTGTGGATCTGAGAATACATTTGTGCCATGTTTGCTTAATTTGCAGTTACTTAACATATGAGTAGGAACTCCATTAGCTTGTTCCATCTTATCCCTTTTGAGAAGATCTTTAATATATTTTGGACTGAGTGAGACGCATAATGCCATTGTTGCAGAAGGTGACTTCAATACCTAAAAAATAGTTAGGTCTGCCCAATCTTTTTAGAGCAAATTCATTGTGCAACTTGTTGATTAACTGCTGATTCAGAGGTGTGCTAGAACCAGTAATCAAGATGTTATCAACATATACTAAGGCATGCATAACAACACCAAGTTTAGAGTACACAAATAGAGAAGTATCACATTTGAAAACATTAAAGCCAAATTGTAGCAAGGAGTGAGTTAGTTTCTCATACCATACCAAGCCCTTGGGGCTTGTTTAAGTCCATATATAGCTTTGTGAAGCTTGCACATAAGTGTCTTGTCAGTATTTTCAAACCCAATTGGTTGATTCATGTAGACCTCATCATGTAAGATGCCATTTAAGAAGGCATTGTTAACATCTATCTACTGAATATCCCACTTGTGAGTATTGGCAAGAGTGACATAGACCCTAATAGTAGTAGATTTGACAACCAGAGATAAATTTTCAGTGTAGTCAAAACCATGTTCCTAATGAAATCCCTTTGCTACAAGCCTAGCTTTGTATTTGTGTATTGTACCACCATCATTTTACTTTATCTTGAAGACCCATCTGCAGCCTACAGCTTTTCTATCAGGGGGTAAAGTGTTTAGGGTCCAGGTGTTATTGGCTTGCAAGGAATTAAACTCATCAGTCATAGCCTTAACCCACTCAGGTTTGGTCATAGCCTGCTTAAGAGAGGTTGTTCAGACTCAGTATGAATAAGACAAGCTTTAGGTTTTGACTTACCAATTTTATCTCTTGTTAACATAGGGTGATTTTTTTTTCCAGAAGAGAAGTAATGGGGAGGTTTGTTCTCATGGAAGGAGATTGAGAAGACTCAGATAGAGGGATACAAGAAGACAGGGTAAGTTCATTTGAGGAAAAAGAGTTAGTAAGATTATGTAAAGTTGGAGTCTCTCTATTGGGTCTAGCCGTTTGAGGCATTAAGTTCTTATCAGTATTTATTATATTGATAACAGTTGGATAATAGCTTTAGGCTGTCCTTTAGACATATGATATCAGTAGAGTTAGCCTCAGATCCTACAATTATTGTATTGTTAGAAGAGGTTTCCTCATTAGACCTGTTACCTTCAGAGGAATAGGGTACAGAGTAACCAGAGTTATGAGTTGTTATGTTCAGTTAACATATGGCAAGGGTTTGACCATTACCCACGTATACATTGTTATGTCCTACATAAGGTTTGTTATTTTTTAAAAGAAAAGTATGAAGTGTTAAGTAGCTAAACCAATATCTCTAACACAAAAGAATATCTTTATTTTCCATATAAACAAAACAAATTTGTATAAGGTTCCAAAGTTCAAAATAATTTTTAAAAAAGTTCAAATTAAATTATGTGCACACAATAATAGTTGCAATACTTGTTTTTCCATATAAACAAAAACTAATTTGTATACGGTTCCAAAGTTTTATCTCAACCATTTGTTCAAGTCAAAGAAACCAAATGGTAAAAATTCAAAAATGCTACCAAGTCTTTCGCAATCCAAATATAGCAAACTCCATAATTAACATACACAGACGATTGGACCAAGGCTCTTGCATGCTACTATATAAGACATGGAAGAACCCTATTGTTATTCATCTCAAGGGGAATCAAAAACAGCACAATAAATAAACATCAACAAAAATCAATAAAATTATAAATAAAAAATGGCACAATCATTCGCTGTGGTTGCTCTCCTTGTCTTCGCTTTTTGCTTCTCATCTGTCTTGGCTGCTCGTAAGGCACCGACTGATTATCCTGAAGTTTTCACCGTTATTGGCACAATTTATTGCGATCCTTGCCACTTTGAATTTGAATCAAGGCTTAGCAAGCCCATTGAAGGTACAAATTTCTATCTCTATTTCTAGTTTTTTTTCAAAAATATGAGATGATTTTGATTAAAAAATTGTCTAAATTTTTATTGTTTTAAATAAAAAAGTTTAAATCTTGATCGTCTCTGTGCAGGTGTTAAGGTGACTTTGATATGCAAAAAGGAAGAGGGTAACAATGTGACATATGTGAAGGAGGCCACGACGGATGACAATGGTGTCTACAAAATGAATGTTGATGGCGATCACGAGGAAGAAATTTGCGAAGTGAATGCCGATTCAAATGGAAAGGGTGAATGTACTTTGCCTATGGCAAACAAAGGCGACAGGATTGGTCTCAACAAGAACATGGGTGTGTCTTCCTTGGTTCGTTTCGTTAATCCCCTTGGGTTCATGACTAAGACAATTGATAGTCAATGTGGATCGGTTGTCTCTGAATTGGGTTTGGACAAACTCGATGATTAGATAATCATTCAACTTATTCATTATTTCTACTCAGAAAAAAAAATCAAATATAGAAAAAACCACCTATTGTGGTTAATTTATTAAGACTCAGTTGACCTTATCATCAATATATAAATCATTATTTCTCTGCAAAAATGTGTTGTGGGTTATTTGTAACTATTCGAACACATGATTATGGAATATCTAATGAGAATTTGAGAAATTTTGGTATTTTATCTTTGAGCAATAATATTATTAGTACTAGTGACAATTATGCGTGTTGATCAAATAACTAATCTTTTCTCCCTTTAGTCATATTTATTATAGAGAAATTTTTGTATAGAAATTTATTTATTTATATATTTATTTTTAGAAATAACTAATAAAATTTTGTTATTTTAAATTAAAATTTTAAATTTATTTAAAATTTAAAAATTTTAAAATCGTGAGTGGTGGTGAAAATAAAGGAGAAAGAACAATTTATTTTTATTTTTTTAATTAAAAAAAGTTTATAATTAATTATTTTAAAAGATACATATAAATTTATAATTAATTATTTGTAAAAGATACATGTTATGTTATGTTAGTTTTTGTCTCTAAATTTTTCATATTTATAAACCACGGTCTAAAGCGTCAAAGGATTTGTTATTACTTTATTATACTCTATATCTCTTAATAGAAGACTTGCGTATCAAATTCATCGATATTAAGAAAGATGGTTAAATTATAGGAAGTAAAGCATTAAATTTTCAAAAAATACATTATTGACTTTTTGAACTTTCCTATTTCTATCAATATAGAAATCAAGAAGAGAACTCTAAATAAATTCTTTAAACTCATACTTGAATATAATTATGAGTATGAAAGCGGAAGCGTATTTAAATTTGTCATTCAAAATCACCGTAGATTTGTGGATATTTGATCTTCCAATTTGTAAGGTTCCTTATGGCTTCTTGATTCTCCTCTGATGGGGTGGAGAGAGAATTTCTGATAAGTCGTTTTTTGTTGTCTACAAATGGGGACCATAACCCATATAAATAACCTTATGGTTATTTCATAGTTTTTAATATTCTAATTTGACCCCTCATCAAATTAGACATTGACTTATGGCATCTACACAATAATATTATCTTTCATGATATTATACTTTTAGCCACAAACTTATTATTAATTAAACCACTACAGTTTCCTACTAGGACGCCTATGAATTCATGCTGCAAGGGCAATCGCTTCGACTCTCTATCAGAGGTTGAAGTACATTATCAATGACAAGCTAATAATGATCAGCGGTGAAGAAGACATATTGGTGAGTCATTTATCATCTTTCTGATACATTGAAGTAGGGGAAAAATTTATTGAGACTTCTTTCCAAGCACTGTAAATGGCAAGCGTTGTGAATTATCTATTTGAAGAAATCAAGAAACCTGAGAAAGCATCAATGAACAGAAGGTTGTCAATGAGAATGTTCAGAATATGCTGAAGTTGATTCTTGACAAGATATCTGCTCCAACAACTCCTGCATCTGGACCCTAGGCTCTTAGGCTTTTATTTTACCTTTTGCTTCTGAACCTTAGAACTCTTGCTTCTTATGTTTTCTTTTATATCTTATGATTTTTTGAACTAAATGAAATTATTACTTTCGCTTCAAACTTTTATTTGTTATTTCTTCTATTTTTATATTTTTCATACATAATTACCTTTTTGATTATAACAAAAAGGGGGAGTAAATAACTGAAAGTAATATTTTGATTCTGATAATTAAATTTTGGACAACATCTCTGAAAAGAGCTGCTTACATTCTAACCCAACTACTTATATTCTAACCCAGTTAAACTTTTGTTTCTCTTAGAATTGTTTTCTTTTTCAGGAATTATATACTCTAATTAAAGTCAAGATTTGAAAGTGTTAAACAAGGCTTTTGTCTAACTTTTGGATTCAAACTCTGAGAAGTTCTTAAGTTCATAATCAGACTATTCATAACCAGGCTCTGAATTTAGAATCTAGAATCTGTTTTTCTGACGCTAGAGGTTCAAGATCTCAATTGGAATTATTGGTCTCAAGGCTCTCAAGATCTCAATATCTGATCTATTAGAACCAGGGGGAGTTCTACTCAAATGGTTAGAATCAGGATATATGATCTTCATCAAGTCTTTGAGTTAGGGGGAGTTTTCATATAAATGATAAGTGTTTATTACCCTTCTTATTTTTTACTTCCTTTGATTATGTACACAATTATGTCATCAAAATACATGGTTTTGTCATCATCAAAAAGAGGGAGATTGTTAGAACAAGATTTGGTTCTATAACTTTATCTCTGAGTTTTGATGATAATAAAAAGTATGTTTGTATGAACAATTTTGGTACTCTAATGTGTGTTACTTGTGAGTATCTAACAAACAGATTCTGCTTCTGATGAATGACGTGGCCAAGACATTAGAAGAGACAAGTTCTGCTTCTGCATTACACAAGTTCTGATGAACAGTAGTAAGACACTCCAGAAGACTCTGAAGTATAGGATCTGATATGAAGTCTAAAGAAACCAGTCAGAAGATATGAAGATAGAAGTTCTACTGAAGTCAATATGCTAAAGACTCGTGTTTCTAAAGACAACATGTTCTAAAGAAACTAGTCAGAAGACTCTGATGACTTGAAGTTATAAAAACCCAAGGTTCTAGAAAAGATTCTCAAGACCAAGTGCTGAAGATTATGAGGTTTAAGTTCTTGAGACTCTGAAGACTTGAAGTTCTGAAGACCCAAGGTTCTAGAAAAGGTTCTCAAAACCAAGTGATGAAGATTCTAAAGACGAAGTTCTTAAGACTCTGAAGACATGAAGTTCTGAAGACCCAAGGTTCGATAAGAGGTTCTCAAGACCAAGTGCTGAAGACTCTAGAGACTTGAAGTTCTGATGACCTTAGTGTTATGTTCTCTCTTCTAAGCTCATGCTCGTAAAAGCCTCTGAAGTACATAAGGAACGAAGATAACGTTAGCGTGGTACAATAGTACATGGTACAATTAAAATGTTTCATTCCACTACCATGAAGAACGAATGTTATGTACGATCTTGTCCCCCATGTGATTCAAGCCGCCAAAGATTCCGAAAATTCCAAGAGTACCCCTTAACAGATATAATTATATTGGCTATATAAAGGGCTTGAAGACTAAGAGAAAAAGCGGCTAATTAACGCCATTTCACATTCTAAAGAGACTGTTCATACGCTTTCATATTTCTCTAGTCTATGTTCTAAAATTATTGTTTATATATCCGCATGTGTATAAGCATAATTTCTTGTAAACAAACATTGTTCAAACAATTGTTTGATTTTCCTTAAAAGACCATTTAGGTCAGTATCCTTAAGAAGTCTAAGACTTGTGCATCTTAGAGGTTGATGTTAGTCACTTGAGGATAGCTTGTGCATTGTAATAATCATTTTGATTATTGGCTTAAGTCCTTGTTTGATAAGGCAAAATCACCTTGGCGGATGGACTAGACTAGCTTGATAGTTTTCAAGTGAACTAGTATAAACATACATTTTTCACTACTTCTTGTTCTTAATTATTGTTATTATCAAAAGTGGGGAAAACATATTTTATTTAAAGGGGATTATTTTAAAAGAAAAGTTTTTGATTTAAAACCTAATACAAACTCCCCCTCCTTTCTTATGTTTTTCACACCTTCACATTCTACAAACTCAAATGGAAAAAGAGGGAAGTCTTTGGCAGGACCAGATTGAAGAATTAAAATGAAAAACCTAAGACAGTTGGTGAGCCAAAACCCAAATAAAAAATTAATTGAATCAAGGAAGCATTGAATCAAAATGATGCCTAATGGAAATTTCATTAATCTCTCTTCATCTATTTATATCTCTTAATTACTACAAAACATACCTACGACAAAGATATATTACGATGATCAATGATTCACCATGGTAATATCTGGTTTTTTACGCACATTAATTTATTTTATTTAATTAAGAAAACTTTCATCACAGTTTTTAAACCCAACTATAGTCATAGAAATTGGATGACCTGCTTCGAATCGCATCATCAACATTTTTCCAATTTTTCAATAAAAATAAATGCGTGATCTTTAACATATTTTGTTATATAAAAAATGGAAGTATAAAAACCACAATTGTTTCAAAAACCGTGGTTATGTGTTTTATGTTTCACTATGTTTGTTCTGGCAACCGTTGTGAAATTATTTTCACCTAATAAAAACATAACAAAAAATCTATTTCGTTCATAACACACAGGGGTGTCCTAGGAAACGAGACAACAGTCATAGCGAAATATTCACCATCTTCTAGAAACGAATAATATTTCTGGAGATAAATAAAATTTATGGAGACGACAGAAATAGAGAAATCTTCACCATTTTTGACTTATGGTACGTTACGATTATGTGTTTATTTCTTGTTATCTTTCGTTGTGGTAATGGTACTACTTTCTGAAAGTTCTTTGCTAGGGTTTCTTTTTTAACATAATGATTGTGATTTGTATTGGTTTGTTCTTCGCTTGAGCTTATTTTTTTAACAAATGTCATAATGCCATTGGTCATTTCTTATTCAGATTTTGTGACAATAACATTGTGAAGTTTGTATTCAGATGTGTATTGTGTTATTTTAGGTTAAAGGAAGTAAATGGAAATAGACACTAAGAGAAGAAAATTCTTTCTTTTTTAACATAAAGGAAGTAAAAGGAATTACACTAAGAGGTGGAAGTAAAAGACATTACACTAAGAGAAGGAAGTAAATGACACTACATTAGATAATTTCATTCTTCATCCCCCTCTTCTTCCACTTTGGAGGCCCCAACAAATGTGCCTATTCTCAGACTTCTGAACCTCTGAAGCTACCTCAGCTTATTTCTTCATCAACTTCTCTTCTTCCTTTGTTTGTTTCTTCATCGGCATGGTAATCTCTTTCTTAAAATCCCTCTTATCAGCCTTATATTATTTTGCTTTACGTTTACCCATTTTAGTTGAAGAGTAGTATAATCTAGAATCTTGGTTTTGGTCTGTT